GCCCTTGGCCATGCTTTTAAAGGCTTAAGAGTTTAGGTCATGCTTTTAGTGCAGTGCAAGCTGTTTTATGTGAAGGAGTTTTTAATTACTGATTACAGTAAGGCTTTTTGTAATGCTATACTGGCAAAATAGTCACATTCTTAGGGGTAAACTTTACTAGGCTTTGCTTCAAGCTGAATAATTTGACTGGCCAGAAATTCGGTATTTCGTATTGTAGTAATACATGATGGCCTTACTGGACCTCTAGGGAGAGCAGTTTGGACAGAATTGATCAAGCCATCCAGCGTCAATAAAGTTTAAGCTTAGTTTAAAATTGTCGGATGAGCTGCAATTATTTGAGCAACACAACGTGCACAAAACATGCAAACCATCCTTTAATTTCCCCTTCCTTAAATGTCCTCTTGTATTTAAGTTGTCACAAGAGGAGGTAAGAAGAAGGGTTTACAGTAGCATGTGCTTTTCACATTTGACTGGGGTTCAATTCCAGGGGGTCCTACTAAAGAATGCCCGGGAATGCCCGGGGAAATTCGTTGAATGCCCGGGAATGCCCGGGGAAATTCGTTGAATGCCCGGGAATGCCCGGGAGTTGGGAAAGAATGCCCGGGGAAAATTACGTTCATAATTACGTTAGTTTATACTAATAAAATCACTTATTTTATGAAAGATTAAATAATTCTTGTAATATATGGCATTGCAAAGTACTGTTCACGGAATGTCCGGCTGTCACAAAAGAATGCCCGGGAGTTGAAAATGAATGCCCGGGGTAAAATTACGCAAGTAATTACGATAGTTAATGATGAGTGCCTAAAGCACAGAATAATTACCTAAAGCCTTTATAATGTCGTATATATAATGTGATGAATAAACACGTCTTTTTACACTACCGAAAATATATTTCACTGATAGTGATGTATTCTGAGTAGATTTGAAAAAGACATTGGCGGTACGTAATTTTCCCCAGGTAGGCATTCTGTGAATACTTTTTGCAATGCCATATATCACAAGAAACTTTCATAAAAAAAAGACTTGTTATCATTAACTATCGTAATTACTTGCGTAATTTTACCCCGGGCATTCATTTTCGACTCCCGGGCATTCTTTTGTGACAGTCGGACATTCCGTGAACAGTACTTTGCAATGCCATATATTACAAGAATATTTAATTTTTCATAAAATAAGTGATTTTATTAGTGTAAACTAACGTAATTATGAACGTAATTTTCCCCGGGCATTCTTTCCCAACTCCCGGGCATTCCCGGGCATTCAACGAATCTCCCCGGGCGTTCCCGGGCATTCTTTAGTAGGACCGATTCCAGGGAGGTGAATAGGTTTTCGGATCGTCAGATTTCACAGAAAAAATTGTTCGGATTTCGGATCTGGTGAATATTTTACACGGATTTGCGGATCCTATTAATACAGCGGATTGCGGATTTATCTAATATTTTGCCTCAGATTGTGGATTTAGCTTGCCGTTTAGTTGGGATCCTGGATTGTGATTTCATAGTAGAGGATTCAAATTTAGACAAGACCATTGTCGGATCGCGGATTTTGCTTCAAATTTAGGCGGATCGGCGGATTTGTATACCCCTATTCACCCCCATTCCAGCAATATGGAGTTGTCTGATCAGGGCAGGAAAAATAATTTTCTTACAAAAATTTAGTCCGTGCAGACCAACGGAGTATTTTTATGCTAAATCTGCATGTGCATAAACATATAGTGTTCTACCCTGGATTCCAGAGCCTTCGACAGTAATGTCGCGAAGGCTCTGGTTCAACGGGGCGATTCTTTGATTAAGCCGCGCCAATCACAAAACAGAATTAGTGGTTTTAGTACAGATTAAGCCGCGCCAATCACAAAACAGAATTAGTGGTTTTAGTACAGATTAAGCCGCGCCAATCACAAAACAGAATTAGTGGTTTTAGTACAGATTCTGTACTAAAACCACTAATTCTGTACTAAAACCACTAATTCTGTACTAAAACCACTAATTCTGTTTTGTGATTGGCGCGGCTTAATCAAAGAATCGCCCCGTTGAACCAGAGCCTTCGCGACATTTCAATTTATTATTTACTGTCGAAGGCTCTGGAATCCAGGGTAATAGTGTTCTAGCTGACCATGATTTTAAATTCAAGGAATAATGTCTGTCAACCATATGTTGTTGCGCCCATAGTGGGACATGGGTGTTAAGGTTTCCTTCCTGCGAGCAGTGCTCGCTTATTTTTCCCACCCGTGTCTGATTGTAATTTTACCTCGGTCACATATACGAGAAGGGTGCTTCCAGTAAACATTGTAGGTTTTCTCTGAGAAAATATCAAGATTTCTTTTGTTGCATCTCACTCCAATGAATAACATTTGATGGATATTGTAGATGGAAATTGTCGAGTCGAAATTTATATACATTTACTTTAGGTCCCTGGTGGTAGGAATCAAACCTTAACCTGCCCTGCGATTCTGGTGCAGCATTCTAACCAACTGAGCTATGAAGGCCAGTTGTCAAGCTCTAACATGTATATATACTAGGCTACTCTGGTTATCTCTTGTACAGGGATGGATCCAGCATGATCTGGTAGGGGGGGGGGTGTGCTCTGGGCCAGCTCTGGTGCCGAGTTGTTTCGGTCATGTGTGCCGCCCGCCCATCAACTTGCTTCACTACTGCAAAGTCTTGCTTGACTACAGTATTTGAATTGTAATTGTTGTTCACAGTTCGCTTATCATCATGTTATTACTCAAATTACTGTATCTCATTTTGCCTCTAATAATTTTTTGCTTTATCATGAAAAATAGCACCCCCTCTGGCCAGGGCTAGGGGGGTGCAGCCCCCCCCCAGTAAATCCATCCCTGCTCTTGTAGTAACACCGAAACTCATAGTCAATAGGATAAGGTTAGGGAACTCGATGCAGACATAATAGACTTCATTATCCATGTTTTTGTCCTGGTTAATCTGGTTTATGCAAGAAATAGTCGGGTTCATCGTCACGTGTGTATTTTATTTTCTCTAGAGCAACCAATGGCTATGCTTTCATTTAACCATTGTCTAATATCACAACTGTGTAATTAAACCAACACATTGCTTTTGGTTGGTTGGGCGAAAAAACAATACACACGTGACGATGAACCAACCTTTCTTGCATACACCAACACACAAACATAGATGAGGTCTATTATGTGATTTATGAGTTGATCATTGAGTTTCCTAACCTTCTCATAAGGGCCTTATTACATGGAGAGTTTTCAGCCCGGTTAAACGAGCTGAAATTGCATTAGATTACATCAGATTACATGAGCAGTTTGAGCCGGGCTGAGTTTAGTCAGAGCTATATTTAGTCGGCCCGGGCTGAAATAATCTGAGGCCAAAAAAAAAAATATGTGGGTTTCCGGTTTCTTCTTATAAAAACTTAGGTAGGGTAGGTCGGTTAACTTTTTTTTTTAAACTTTTTTTTTTAATTTTCCGAACAAGCGGACGCCATTTTGTTTAGTCAGTGCTTCCACAATGAAAGATAAATTTCCCTAATATTGCCTCAAATTTCAATTTTCCGCAAACTTTTTCCTCTAAGTGGAAACACTTACAAGCATGATCCAATAAAAAGTTTAGGGTCGGGATTTCGACGTCCAAAAGCTAGGTAGGGTCGGGAAACCGGAAACCCACATATTTTTTTTTTTGGCCTGAGTATCACGAAATAGGACAATAAGTCTGTTACGCTTCTTTGAAGCATTCAGACGCTGATTAGTTGACTATTTGATTTGTGTGAGACTGTGGTTATATGTAAAGTATTTAAAGATGAAACAAACATGCAAAATAAAGCCATGTAAACGGTTGTTTTTTTAGCCCAGGCTGAAATTATTTGCAATTACATGCAGTGGGCATCACAAACCAGGCTGAAATTTCAGCATGGGCTGAATTTTGGTCATGTAATCGCTTGCTGTGATTTAATAGGATTTTATCCTTAGGCCGGGCTGAAAACTCTCCATGTAATCAGCCCCTTATTCTATTGACTATGATAGAACTGAGTCTATATGGATGCTATCTAAACAACTATTAGTCTATTTTGTCTACTCATTTGTTTAGTGAAAGTGATTATGTTATGTAATAAACTATCATCAATTAAATAACAATTAACCCATTGTAGCCAAGCAAGGGCAAACCATTAATGTCTGTCTGGCAAATTGACAAATCAAATTATGTAACCAAGATTAATTATGTAATCAGGGTGTTATTCTCTGTCCATTCTGTTTACCCGAAGCTCTATTGTTAGATAACAACACCTTATGTAGTAAAATTTAAAATAATACTCACAAGTGATCTTGTCTTTTGAAACCTTTCTCACATATGGAGCAGATGTACTTTCGTTCATCGCTGTGTGTTGCCTTGTGCTTTGCCAGTGCGCTAGAGCTGCCGAATTTCTTCAAACACTGGGTACATTGTATGTTGCTGTCGGCCTTCGCGCTTGCACCGCGCTTGCCTTTGATGTTCTTGTTGTCGTCCAATTGCTTCGCATCTGTTCGCTCACTTTGTTTTCCCTGGTTGACAATCTCACGTTCGAGTGAACTTTGTCTTGTCGATGTCTCATCCTCAATGATTTTACCAACAGGAGATGGATTGCTTCTCACTATTTGAAATAACAAGAAGAAAAAAACAGAAGTATTATTGCATGTAAATATGCTTTTAAACTTGTGGCAAAGATTTAGCCAGCCATGCCAAATGGTCACGCTATGCCCTCAGACGACACTAACTTCCAAATGAAAGGCTTTCATTCGAGACATCCAACTTTGTTCTAAACTTTTCATGTAGTTTTATCACTCAGCCAGGCTCACGAAGATAACGTTCAACAACGCCTACACTGTAACACTATGTTTAAGATGCACTTAGGTCGTTGAAAGACAATATATTTCTAAAAGTAATCAACTTTACATAGCATAATCAGTTGCTATGGTTTACGACTGGTTTAAATCAATCGAATAACTTTACTTGTCATCACACAAATGGACTCACTAAGTATTCTCTATAGCATATTGCCCGAGAATTGCCTTCGTTCATCGAGGAACATTTTCAGTTTTTCACACAAGATACCACTAAACTATACTCAACTTTCAATGACCTAAGAACTGTTGACAATGCTTGAAATTTGCAGTATCCCAATATCCACAGAATCTATATTTTAATTTTCCATACTGGACCTCACAGGCGCAGTACCCGTTGGGAAATTAAACAAAAACAGATTCTTATTCACAAAGATTTCATTGTTTATATTTTGTTATATGGGTTAATATTTATTCATCATGTCCGTGTTTGCAGATTTTGCATAATCTTTCCAGTGACTCTGTTTTTTGGCAATTGAAAGCTTGTTTTGCTTTAATTGTTTCAGTGTTTGGTTATTGCTTCCTAGGATATCTATTATCCAAATGTGGGATACTAGAGTTTCTGGGTGGATACTAGTATCTCATTAGACTGCGGGCAGTCTCTCCTTCAAGAAACGAAATAGGCGTTGTCCACACAACGCAAAATGCCGATTGGCTGATATCATTGATTGACAGATCTTTTTTGAATTTTGAAAAAGTGTTTTTCAAATTTGAAAGTCAACCCTCAAATTAAATCTCGTACCAATTTTATTCATACTGCCTGAAAGCGTTTAGCGTGTGATTTCGAGCGAATACAATTTAATGTTATGCTATGTATTTTTGCTTGTATTATATAGTAATACTGTGTATTTTTGCTTGTAAAACTTAAACGTCGTCGTTTAACTGCATGTAAACTTTTATTTTCAAAATAATACGATACACGCTATAAATAGTTGCTTGTTTACAACGTCAAATAATTATATTGGAGCTAAGGGGTGGTGCGAAAAGTGGGCGTATTTCCTGGTTGATAGTAGCTGCAGTTAATCCATTAAGTTGCATTGCATCCTACTTTGTTATTTTACTCTGTCTATTAATGTCAGACATTTTTACTCATCAACAGGAGAACCCTGGGGCTCAATGGGTTAACCAGGCTATGTGTCTAGTCAGTGATGAGAGGTTCCCCCAGAATATCTAGGCATGCCTGGATCAACCTCTGCAATTCTAGAAAGTAAATGTAATCGTAACCAAACCCAGAACATAACCCAAAGGTTCGGGAGGCTCCCGATTTCTTGGCAAATCTCCCGATCTCCCGATTTATATTTAAACCTCCCGATTTTACGTATGAAAAGAAAAAATGTTACTTTTTCTAAAAGAATCCTTGTAAAAGCCGTTCGCGTACAGTAAAAACGGTTGTCGAATCGACAAAAAAGCGGCTTTGTACGACAAAGTTTCGTAATATTTCGCATGAAAGGTGGAAATTTACAGTTGTTGTATTCACGAGTCTCGGAATCAAGAAATGGCGCTTCTGAAAGAAAGTTTAAATTTTCTACCCAGTCACGCTAGAGGTCAACGTTTTCTTGCCTTTACCAGACCTCCCTATTTTTGGAGATGTCAAGTTGGAACGTCTGCATAACCCTAGAGATGACCAATACGTATTAACCCACTGACCGCCAGGGCTCTCTGCCTCTCCCCTTGATGAATCTGGCATTAGACAGAATAGAATAATTTAAAGTAGGGTACATAGTGGGTTAAAGGAGGTTTTCCACTTCAAGCGTACCGTACCAAAACATACTGGCGAGCATGTGCTCCAAATACAATAGCTGCCGATGATAATCTTTAGACCAATTTTAGGTACGTTTACATGTTGCATATGTCTAGCATTTGTTATCGAATAAGCATGCATAAAGTGGTTGTATTTCAAATTTCGCCATAATCTGAATGAAGAGGAATTGTGGCGTGAGCAGTAAATTTCATACGCCAGGGGCCAGTTGTTCAAAGGTGGGTTAGGACTAACACGATTTCTGTACGTCTGTTTATTTCAAAACTTCAGAGATGAAAACTCCTATCAATCCAGACCACATCTCTGAAGAAATATTTCCAAATTTATGGACAAGCTGACGGGAAGTTTGCTTTGAATTTTAGGTTAACCCAAGGTTAAACCATGTGGTCAAACTAACCCAGCTTTGAACAACCGGCCCCAGAATACAATTCGTACATGACAAATCGCAGTGTGTAAACATAGCTTTACACCACACAACTTTTGCCTAAAACTGTTGCACGGAACCTGCTTACAACTTCAGTTGTATGCCGACACTGTAGACAAGTTCTGTGTTCGATTTACACAATACAACTCAAATTGTAAGCAGGTTGCTAGCCACAGTCTTAGGCGAAAGTGTGTAATGTAAATCCGTCTTTTTGTTAGTATGCTTGAAACATGACGGCCATGACGTCAAATCGTGACATCAAGTCTTGACATCAAATCTCGATGTCAACCAAGAATGTATACTAAGATACATTGAACTCCGACAATAGGCTTTAAATTAATATTTTCTAAGTATAAACTAGCTGGCGTTAAGAGGCTCACAATGAACAAAATGTATAAAAATGAGAGAAGCTAACAAGCTCATAATGAAAGGGAAGAATGGCTTTAAAATTTATTCTGCCCGGGCAGGAAACAAGCTATCAAAATTGGACAGCTGTGCCTACTTAAAAGCCAAAATTATGCTACTTAACTAAGAAAATATGCATTATAAATGCAAATTAGAGAACTAAAACATGTTTAAAAGGCAATTTAGTAGACTTCTGCACGATTTTGACAGGTTAAAAAGACGTCTTTGACGCCCATTTGAATTTCCGCTGTTTTTCCATCGCTGTTTTTCCTGAAAGGTGCAAATAAGTGACCTCATTATTGGCCATTTAGAGGTGTTTTGCAGCACGAAAAAGCGAAGTTTAAAGCCTCAGAAGCAAACAAAAGGGCAAGAGCTGGCCATAGTTATGTAGCTCTTGAATTTTTTCCACTTAAACGAAAACAGAGCCCGGTTGTTGGAGTCATGAAAAGCTTCTGAAATGCAGCCAAAATTCTTGCTGCTGAAAAATTTACAATAACAAAGACGCACGGAAATTATACTTGCCAAAAGAGATTAGCTTGCATTGTTACAGCGCTGGAGCCCTCCCTGTGAAGATTTGCAAAGCTTTCTTGCCGTTTACAAAGCATAAAATAGAGATCTAATACAGCTACTACACAGAATGAGAGTGTCTTACCGTTGGATTTCAAAGCGTCTTGTTCGGCCATCAAGTTGTTGTTCTTTGCTAAATTTTCGTTCGAGACGGGCGACCTTCGTTCGTATATTGCAAATCCAGGGTATCCACTTTGCATTTCTGCATGACTTTGCACAAAAAGTCCATCTTGGATATTGTATTTCGAGTTCAAAGCGCCATAGCTCATCGCAGAACCTGGCATGAGTCCCGTTCTCTCGAAGTACTGCTTCCCCCGTGCATCCATTTGAGATAAGGCAAATTCAGGGGGGTGCTGGACACGGTACACAGCATCACGCATTTGCTGAGAAAAATAAGGTTGGGACCTCGTCTCCATTCCAGACATTTGGTGGTACGCGCGATTACTGGAAATCGGAGCACGCGAGAATTTCTCCGAAATATGAGCCGCGTTATCTGATGGCGTTCCGTACGTTTCCATAACACTGTTTTGCAAATAATGTCGATTTCGTCCAAAATGATCACCATTGTCGTTCTCGACTTGCTCGTAACAGCGTAAACTGTTGAATTCCGTCGAGTCCATTTCTGTTTCTGTCACCGTTTCGTTTTCAGACGTGTTTTGCTGACGATTATTCAAAACACCACGTATTACAGAAGTTCTTGTTTCCGGTAAAGAGCTGTTCACAATATCGTTCGCCTCTGTCGTTTCGTACGGTTGCCTGCGGACAGCCCTCTGCCTAGGACCGCCAAAATTTGCCGTTTGTCTAGTGTGAACGCCAAAATTCTTATTGAAATCTCTCTCTTCGTTCATGTTACGCGCTGTGACTTTTGCCAAATCTTCAGGGTTGAGCATAATCGTATTTTCAATGCCCACCGTTTCGGCTAGCTTCGAATGTTCCATGTTAGGTTTTATCCGTTTTTTAGGCTGCTCATCTGCGTAAAGGGATTGAACGGTCTCCTCGCTGAGTCTAGCGGGACTTTCGGCTAGATATAAATTTTCCGTCTGGGCAAAGCTGACATCCATACGGAAATGTGCAACCACGCAAGCAACCGTTTTAAGAACTACTGTACTTCACTGGCTAGTGGCACACATACAATGCCTACAAAAAAGTGTGTGAATACAACTTTTAGTTCAACCAGCAGAAAATAATTCATTTGTTTGCCGGGACCTCCGTGCAAGTCGAGCAATTTTTTACAACATTTTTCGGGCGACGTGTCGCTACACACGCCTGTGCGTGGGGAATTGATTACAAAATATCCCTCTTCGCCGTTTTTTGTTCGCAAAAATTTCGCAGCCTAGCTACGAATATGTGGCTATTTCCTGGTACAATATAAAGGGAGAACATTACATTTTCGAGTTCCATTCGACAGCGCCAGGTTATATCAGTTCTGGAATACAGAAAACACTCCACAATGCTGCTATGATGAAGTTCACACGACTTATGTTTACATCTTACAAGCAATACACACGTTCCGTACGGAGAGTGTTGCTACCGTAAAAACATAACAAACTATATGGCGAAATCCTATCTAAATACACGTACGGTATAGAAGTTCTACTATTCCCTTAGCCCTAGGTCTTTTGAGTGGCTTTCGAGTAAGCACGTTTCGTATATTTTCGCGGTATTTGGCAAATATTTCGGTTGTATAAAAGTTCATAATAACATCATTCTGTAACCGAATGTTGACCCCGGAGGCAAAATAATTGAGTGTATCGAAAAAGCATCGATTTTACAAGTGAAATTGTATGAAAGCCTGCCACAGACCACGGCGAAAGCTGGCTAGAGGAACGGCTAAAACACAGCAATAAGCACGTGTAATCGATCGGCATTTGCCCGAACCAACACAGGAAGACGGAAACCGCCGAATTCTTTGCAAGAATATGTGAACATTTTACAACATAGCCGTTTGACTACAGTACAAGTCGAAAGTGTTGCCAATGTCGTTGAATAACTCACTATACCGACGATAAACTGGTTTAACAATGTTGTCAGCGACTGTATAGAAATGGCGTAACTTTACTACAGACAAAATGTTGTCTAGAATTCCTTAATTAGCACATACGACGTAACATGTTACAAGCATACATACCTTGTAAAATGGTCGAAAAGCCGCCGCTTTTGACGAATAACCGGATAATATTTGGTATAGACGGTTGTAGGTACACTTTTGCTTCGAAATTCGCGGAACCCGCGTCGAAAATGCAATGTTTTGCAAGATTTCGTCGGATATTACGTTATCTGTTGTTGCTTAGTCAGGGATTCGATTGCAGAAAATCAACAGACGCAATACTCATGACCGTCCCTGACTATGACGTAACTCGTGGGCACTTAGCGCTCGGCCAATCACAGCAGCAGGAAAATCATTACAAGGGTGGGTTTTTGCAGGGGCGGAAACATACTATCCGGGCTGCACAGCAACCATTCTGCAAATGCAACATGCATAAGAATAAAGAAAGGCTTTGCAATTAAATATTGAGGATATTGGTACGGAATTTTCCTGCAATTTTCTCGCGAATTTGCATCAGGGAAGTTCTATTATTGAAATAGATTAGCACGAGACGACAGGAATGACCTTCAACGTTCATAGCCAGTCTAATAACTGGGATTAAGTTTCCGTTGCGACTGAGACAGACCATGTTGACAAGACCCAAAATTAGCCATCGTGCGTCATAATGGCGTAGTCAAATGCTGCATCGTGACTGGCTGGAAGTTAAATACTCTCAGCGGCGCCTGGGAACTCCCGCTTTTTGCAAACGGAATATATAGTGTGCACCGTTGCAAGTTTTAGACAAAGATTTGCTCCAGAATCGTCGAAACTTTAAACATATTTAAACTCTTGAATTTTTCTCAATTTAGAAAATTAATATTTCCGGCTTTCTGACCATGCTTCGAAACGCTTCTTGATTTCTGTTTGTGCTGGGCTACTTTTAATACTCTTTTTTACTAGACTTTTATGTGAGCCTGTGCGCAAGAATCTGCCCAAAATCTAGACTGCCTCGCTCTTGACAGTTCTAGAAAACCAAGTAAGAAGGAAAATGGAATAACAGTCGAAACGGTGTTTTTCAGAGTCAAGCTCATATTCTTCTCATGACGACAGAAATGAAATTACAAGCCGACAAGTTGACCAACACCGACACAATTTTTGCCTAAAACTGTCGCATACAACCTGCTTACAACTTGAGTTGTACTGTGTAAATCTAGCTCACAACTCGGTGAGTTGTGAGCTTAACTTACACAGTACGACTCAAGTTGTGCTGTTGTAAGCAGCCGGTTACATGCATAGTTACATGCGACAGTTTTAGGCAAACGTTGTGCAGTGTTCGGCCTTATTAATAATATACGCTGAATATTTGAGCCACAACGGCGCTGCGAAAGCTTAGTACGCCAGCCAAATATTCTAAAATAGTAAAATACGATCAAAATCTATTGCTTTTCCACAACTATTTCTCTTTTACGCTAAAATGTCGTCTTGTGACACGTCGAATATACTCGAAGTATTAAACACACAAAACTGTAGACAACTGCATTTTGCAAGAATCGAACTTACTAGATTGTTTCAAAACCACGTAGTTTATCATATCATACATGTATCAGATTTATGCGGTCAGGAGGACTGTCAGACTGCGACCTCTGAACATGTGTGATGTGTGGCAATGTCTCGACCCACGATACTCTAATTTTGCTGCAAACATTCAATGAATAGGGCGATTCATTTCATTGTTGTCGCGGTATCGTATTATGAAAACCACAAGCGCGCGCGGTATGATGGCAGGTCGCCAGCCGCCAGATATGCCAGCCGCAAGCTTGTTTGAAATATCTGGGAACGGTAATAATTATATTGGAAGCGCACGTGGCTTGCACGCATTTGAACAGAGCCAATGCAGTGTCAGTGTGCATGGAATACATACACGTAAAAATCTCACAACTTGTCAACAAGATGTGTTCGCAACAGGCTTGTAGCAAGGTTGTCAACGAGTTGTAACAATGCTGTTATTTTATATTTAGTTGCTATACAAGGTTGTCACTCACAACTTGTGGACAAATTGTTGAATTGCAGGACGATAACAAGTTGTTGGAACAACTTGTAACAAGTCTGTTGAGGTCAACACCTTGTAGCAAGTTATCAACAAGCTGGGAACAAGCATTGCGAATACATCCCGTTGATAACAGTCTACTCCCAATCTCCCATTGCTACAAGTCTGCTGCAAGTTTGTTACAACTTGTGCATTAATCATGGGCGTACCGGGGGGGGCGAGGGGGGCGGCAGTCAGTGTGACCAGGTTTAGTACATTTTATTACCAGATCCGGTTGGATGCCCTTAGACAACCCCACCTGCTTTAAACAACTGCAACATTAAGAACAGGAGGGGGCAGCCAACCAATTTTAAGCAGCTTTAGTAAAAAAATTTGCATATATGGTCAGACTGGCGGCAGCCACCCCCGCAAACAAAGCCAGTCGGGCAATATTCGCTTCACAGTCGGGCAATATTGGCTTATTATAAAAATAAATGGGACAAATTCTGTCGATTTTGTGGGAAATATGCTATCTAATAGGAATTTTCCGTAATCACTCCTCCCCCCCCCCGTCGACAACAATTTTGGAAAGTTTCTCCGGAAAATTTTTTTGACAACTCGGGCACAATCCGAAAAAGTCGGGCAAATTTCTTTCCGCCCCCCTAATTTTTTCCTTCCCGTACCGCCCATGTGCATTTTTACGTGTGCAGGTGGTGTTATGTGTACTCAGGTGAATATGATGTTCGTGATGTTACCCCGAGTGTGCATCCACACCGGGCAAACTGAAAAGTTAGCTTGGCCACGGTGGGAATCGAACCAGCGACCTTTGGGATACCAGTCCAATGCTCTGCCAACTGAGCTACGCGGTCAAGTCGGTTCGAGTTGATGATATTTCGGAACTGAGTCTAGTTCCTTTGATATCTGTGTATTCTATGATTTGCCAGTCTGGAAAGTCAACTTTTTGCACGCCGGACATCGATTCAGGCACATGTAACTGTACGCCAATTTTGGAAATATAAATGCGCAAAAGTTCCAAATACACCTTTTCACTGTTTTCAGTACAAACCTATTTGGTCCATATTTGTTGAATTTGAACAATTGCTAGTCTATGTAAACAAATGTACGCCATTATGTACGCCAAAGTTTGTGGACAAGTCCGGCGTACAGACTTTACATTCCAGTCTGGATGAGTTGTAAGCAGGTTGCATGCGATAGCTTTGGGTAAAAGTTGTGAAGTGTAAATAATTAGGAGATTGAACAAGCTTTCGTTGGTAGGAATGAAACTGCCTGAGGAGAATTTCGACGTTTCGAGCGAAGGCCCTTCGTCTGGTGCAGGGCCGTAGCTAAGCATGCATAGTTGGGGGGTGTAGGCCAAAAATTTCCGAATGACGAAAGAAATTTCCGAATATTTCATGGCATACGAAGTCACGAAGGTGTTTGCTATCCGGAAAAAGAAAAGGCAATTTACAAACAAAAATACTGATATTTTACGCACAGACATATTACAGAATTGATTTTCCGAATATGTTAATTCTAAAAAAGTTGGGGGGGTTAACCCCCCCCCCCCCCAATACCCCCTCGCTACGGCCCTGGTCTGGTGTTACTAACTGGGGCCGAACCCCGCTCGCAACTCCAGACGAAGGGTTGCTCGAAACGTCGAAATTCGGCTTATATTTTTCAGGTAGTTGCATCGCTAACAACGAAAGCTTGTTCGTTTGACTGGCACTATCTACACTGGCAAAGACAGTTCAAGATTGTAAGGAGATTGCAGAGAAGGTGAGGGACGCAAGGCTGAGATGGTATGGACATGTAATGAGAAGAGATGAAGGAGAACTGGTCAGAGACATTATGGAATGAAGAGATCAGAAAAAGATGTGAGGTGGTAGACATTGCAGAGAAGGTGAGGGAAGCAAGGTTGAGATTTATGGACACGTAATAAGAAGAGATGAAGGAGAACTGATCATAGGCATCATGGAATGAAGAGATCAGAAGAAGATGTGAGGTGGTAGACATTGCAGAGAAGACAAGGGAAGCAAGGCTGAGATGGTATGGACACGTAATAAGAAAAGATAAAGGAGAACTGGTCAGAGGCATAATGTCTCTGACTCAGAGACATTATGGAATGAAGAGATCAGAAGAAGATGTGGGGTGGTAGACATTGCAGAGAAGGTGAGGGAAGAAAGGCTGACATGATATGGACACGTAATAAGAAGAGATGAAGGAGAGCGGATCAGAAGCATTGTGGAAATAAGAGATTAGAAGATGTGGGGGTAGACATTGCAGAGAAGGTGAGGGATGCAAGGTTGAGCGGATGGTATGGACACATAATAAGAAGAGACGAAGAAGAGCTGGTCAGAGACATTATGGAATTAAGAGATCAGCAGAAGATGTGGAGTGGTAGACACGGCAAAGAAGGCGAGGGAAGGAAAGCTGAGATGATACAGGCACTAGATTAAGAATTAGGGATGAAGGGAAGTTGGTCAGAGACATTGCGGAAATGAAGATAAATGGGACGGGGGCAAACCAAAGAAGGGATGGAATAGACTCTGTTAAACTCTACCGACAAAGGGCCTTCGCTCGAAACGTCGAAGTTCTCCGTTGTATTTTTCTATTTCGTGTTCTAACAAACTTAAATTAGAAGCAGTAACGGACGTAATGAAAACACAATCTGGTATCCCGGCGCTAGTCTGCGTGTAGACTCAGCACAGAACAGCGAGCCTACGTGCGAACCCTCATAAAACACTCTACACGTAGATTAGGTATCTGCCTGTATTGTTGCGATGAACCTGTAACGTACCGGCACCTTAAAATTGACGTTTACGACCGGGGCAGACCGCTAACCTAAGACAGCAAACTTCACATTTGCATCGGGGCGACAAGCCGCGACATGAAATTTTACAGTTTCAAGGGGACTTTATATAGCACTCAAAATTATGATAATGGACAGAATTAATTAGTCAAAAACTTCAAGTATGAAAAGTTGCAAGAGGTCGAAAAGCGTCTAGTTGCTCGACCCACTCCGATGCGAATCCCGCTATCGTGTAACTGGGGCCTAATTAGCGAGCTTTTAAACAAGCGACATTTTTGACAACACAAACGTTGACCGGAAGCCAATTTGACATTATCAACCAACCAATATTCTTGACCCAGTCTTTTAACGTTACTCATGCCGTTCGTGTTGCCAAAAACGTCGCTTTCTTAAGCTCGCTAATAGCTAATCCACGCTTCAACTTTGATGCACAACTTCGAAGACGAAGTCCACTCACCAACGAGGGGGACACTCGATAAACAATATGTTGTAAACGTCCAGTACGTTGTTAACAAGTCTGCCAACAAGCTGTGCGAATACCAAAGAGCCTGGGAACGAGGTTGTGCGAATACAGCCTCATATATAAGGCTTTGTTGAGACAACTTTCCGGCAAGTTTGCTAGAGGATATCACGTTGCCTGTGCGGAGACGTTTGCACGTGTTTGTGTACGTGCTAGCACAAAGGCGTGACCTAAGCATGCTGTGCACACTTCGATGCGAATGTTTGACCTTGCAGTGTAATTGTAGCTTAATTTAGATCCATGCACATCTGGTATTCTTAACATACTGAGCACAAAGCGGGAAGCGTTTCGTTTTTGTTTCGCCTGACTGTAGAATTAACGTTAATTCTGTGTCATGCATGTATAATTAGCCCGCCTACGAAGAGCCTCGAAACCTCGAAAAATCACATGATTTTTTTATCTCGTACACTTTTTAGGAGTGATTTTAAAAGAGAATGGGGGAAACAGTTTTTGAAAAAATTTTAAAAAAAATTAAAAATCCGTGAAAAATAAAAAAATCACAAAAAAAATTACAAAAAAAATCACATGATTTTTTGATCTCGTATACTTTTTAGGAGTGATTTGCCCCTTGGTAGTGGCAATAACACGGGAAACCAGCGGAATGAGATAGATTCAACTATCGGCACGGAGTACGGAGTCTGTCAAAAAATTGGTTATTTTGCCCAAATTAAGATTCGATTTTAATTCCGCATTTTCCACTTTATGGGGGCGTAATGCGAGTGAAAAGCTTATAGCAACTTGATAAAATATTATAGCATTGTAACAACTTGTCATTGTAACAACTTGCTACAAGCGTGTACATGTTGCGAGCACATCTGATCTTGTTGACAAGTTATTTTTTGTGTGTGTTTAGATGTTATGTACTCAGGTGAATATAATGTTTTTGATGTTACTCTGAGTGCATATCCACAGCGGGCAAGCTGAAAAGTTAGCCTGACCATGGTGGGAATCGAACCCGCCACCTTTGGGATACTAGTCCAGTGCTCTGCCAACTGAGCTACGAGGCTAGGTCTGTTCGAGTGTGTGGTATTTCGGAACTAAGTCTAGTACCTTCGATACCAATGTGTTCTTATGATCATGATATCGTTTGTGTGTGTTTTGATGTTGTGAGATTTTCGAATCAAGCTCCCCAATGCAAAACGGAATGCCAAAACCGTTTAACAGAAGTCAATTTTAACATGTTAATTTTATACATGTATTATATGAGATTTTTACGTGTGTAGACCAGAATTCATCATGATCCAATATGGCGCGAGTATTGTTGAACAGATCTATTTGCAAGAAACATCGTGCTCTGCATCGATCTTGGCATGCGAATTCGCACGCTCGGCGCTTGCAGAGGTAAGGCGCATATCTTAAGATTGACAGATTCATATCCGTACGACTTTTTCCCACAATTGGCTGTCACTTAACGATTTCCAGTGATATTGGACTCGCGCTTGCATGCAAAGTTGCAAACACATTATCTCAACAATAATGCCTGCCTGGGCCTGTCGAATACCACTAATTCAGCCAGTTTAGATAACTTGAAAAAAACCTGTTGTAAATACAACACCTTGGGTTTGTTTAACGACTTTAGGGTAGAGTATTTTATGCATATCATCACATGATATTACGCTGCAATTTTATGCAGTTTTGTTGCATATGATATTAATCATGCAGTAAGCTCGCATTTACATAATGTATTGTTGAGCCATCTGAATGCAAAGCATTTTAGCTTAAGGCAAAACGTATATCAGTGCTATGTTATGTGAGAAATTTGAACCTTTCCGTCGAATTCAGGCCTAGCTGCATGTTATTGAGTGAAAAGCTTCAACAGATGGTCTAGAATTCGAAAGTTACCCAAAAATGATGCTTAATCCCTAGGGCTTAGATTATAATGCAAGCAAATAGTTGCAAAAGCTTTTCGAAACTTCTCTGGCGAATTTACATGCGTCAGACACAATTCCGCCAACTTAAGATGCAAGTGAGGAAGTTATACGCATAATAGTACTTAAATATTGCGCAGAGGTATTCGTTAATGCTATTTAGTGTGGCTTGCTCTCGTCATTACGGCGTGCACGAAGTAAAATTTACAGCCACGTACGCACACGTAGTACCACTGAGCATTGTTAACTGGCTTACGCTTGGCGGGAAATGTTATCAAACAATAGATGCTACTTACATAACTAGCCAGCAAAGTCAGTCCAATCTGTTCCCCCCTTTTCGAACACTTTAACTCTTTCCACCTTTCTGTTACAGCAAACCGGAGCTCAATTGCGGACAGTTTTAAGACTTTCCCTCGCTAGTTTTAAACAGAACCTTGTTGTGAGTCGGATTCTTCCTTGCTTTCTCAGATCATGATATTGTAACCAGACCCCGGTCAGTACTAAAGAATGCACTCGACTACACGCCCCGGAATAACTGGAATTCTTAAAGTTCCTCATTGCATGAGTTTGTCATTGTTTAGCAATTCCATAGCCAAGCCTCATGTCATGAAAAACAGGGTAAATTCAACGATGCTTAGCGATTTCCGAAGATTTGTGATGCGCATAAGACCT